GCCAGCACAGTTCTGGGTGGCCTGGCGTGCGCGGACGTACCATGGGGACAGAGCCGAAGGGCGGACCGGGTCGGGCGCGGCTCTAGGGGCTCTAGGTTTTACTTGAAAGGGTAAAACAGTGACTCTAGGGAGGGTTACTGTAATCCCTAAAGCTACCACTGAAAGATGAGTACAACACACAAGAACATACAATTTATTTACTTCTAATGCAAATCAATCATGTTTAAAAAGCAGATCAGCTAAACGGAATACTAAGAATTATTCCAGTAATTCGAAGGGAGGCAGGAAAGCCAGAACAAAGTAACAAACACCAGAGAGGACACACAGAAAACAAAGAATAAAACTGTAGACCAAAATCCGAGCATCTCAATAATTACGTTGAATATAATTACACTTATAATTAAAAGATGGAGATTGTCAGATTGGATAAAAAATAATAAAAACTGGGACACCTGACTGGCTCATTCGGAAGAGCATGCAACTCTTGATCTTGGGGTCATGAGTCCGATCCTAGGACAGAAAAGACTGAAGAATCTCAGCATTCCTTGAGGCACGTTGACGTCAGAACCAAAGGCACCAGCAGAAAGCTGACGCCAGGTCCCCGCCATCTGCCGGATGAGGCGCCAGCCGATCCAACCGAACGACTCGCTCCCAGGAAGAACGCACCACCCCCGAACTGGACTACCCCCAGAAATACGAGGGCGGTGTGAATTCAGAAGCCCCTGGTGTGACGCACGCTAACCCAGAAACCACCAGGAGTCAGGGCGGCAGGCGCTTGCCCAGGAAGACCCTCCGGGTGCATGCTGGGGCGTGGGTAGGGCAGAGCAGGGAGGCTTGTGCTTCTATTTCCCGCAGCCTCCGCCCGCCCTGTCTCACGGTCCCCCGTCAGCCCCAGCCCTGCTCCGCCTTGCGGCCGCCCTGTGCTCTGAGCAGGCTGAGCCAGGAGCCGCGCCCCAGCCCCTGCCCACGGGGGCCAACGGCACACACACCTGCCCCATTGTGACCATCAGTCATGCCTGCAGGGCCTGCCCAGGTGCCCGAACTGAGAGCCCCAGTGACACACACAGCCGTGGGCCGGACTGGCCACCACACCAAACAGGTGCTGTTTTTGCCAGTGTGTGGCCAGAAGCCCCCCGGAAGGTGAGCTGACTTCAGGGTGTCTGGCCGGGAGGCAGCAGTGGGACTCCTGATCCTGCTCCCAGTGGGCGCCCTGACCGAGCCAGCTCCGGAAGGCTGCCGTGTGCCAAGCCCCCCACTGGAGTGTTGCTGATGCCCGACAGGCATGGAGCGTTCGGATCCACGGCCCAGGTGGGCTCACACAGCCAGTGGCGGCAGGTGGGGTGGCCCGCGCACCGTGGTGGCAGAGCCCCTAAGCACCCCTCAGCCCTGCCCGCACCGTGTAGCCAGGAGCACAGCTCCCCAGGCCCTCGGGGGCCACGGCACCTCCACCGGGCCCTGCAGTCTCTGCAGGCAGGCTCCTGAGGGACGTGCCAAGGACACTGGTCTCGGGTTGCGTTCTTGCCACCACGGGAGGAGCGATGTGTTCCGACGCAGGCTGCCAGGCTCTGCTGCTCTGGGGTCCCCGCTGAGTGGGCATCTGGCAGGGCATCAGCTCGGGCTCTGTCCAGGCCCCATGTCTACTGTCCCTGCAGACACTGCACTTCCTGCAAAGTGGAGGGGCTGGGGGTCAGGCACTCACTGCTCAGTCCATCCCCAAAGCCACAGGGGCCTCTCGCCCCAGAGGAGTGGCGCACGCACACGCAAGTACCAGTGCACGTGTAAGTACGCAGGTCTTAATGAAGACGGGGCACATGCTCGGCGGGGTAGTGCCCTGGGTCTGGCGGGAGGGACGGCGCTGCCGCCAAGTGCCCACTTAGCGGCTCCATCGGGCAGGCACCGGTCCAGGTGGGAGAACCCCGTGAGAAGCCCCGAGCCGGCTCTGCCCTGAAGCTGAGACTGTTTAATGTGGTTCCAGCTCATTTAGCGCATTACCCGGGATTTCAAAGAGCCATTAGCACAAGACAATCCCTCAGTCTCTTGTTTCCATCTGAACGGGTTCCAACGTCAGGTCCTCTGCCAGAAAGGTGAGCCCACATGCACACACACATGCACACACACAACATGAAAGGAACCTGTCACCACCGCTTCCCTGCAGCAAACAGGAGGCCGGGGACCAAGGCCGGCCCACGAGGTCGCTGCCGTGCACACGCTCACACGCACAGTTCGCTGTGGGGGCCCGAGGGCCCTCCCCACTGCCCACATGGACAAGCCCATCCGACCATCCTGGCAGCAGCTTCCAGGCCTGTGACCCCCACCCAACGGAGCCCAGCCCCTGTGAGGCCCACGGGCCCTGCTCCCTGCATTGGATGCACAGCAGTCCCCACACCCAAGGCCGGGGGGAGCTGCCCCTAGGCTGGCTCGATGCAGGGGTTCGGCACCTCCGACAGGCCAGTGGCGAGGACCGCAGCAGCCTGGAGAGGGACGCGCAGTCCCACAGCGTCCCCCCAACTATGACCCCCACCCTCGCCAGGCACCTGGCGTCCCTCAGACCCCCCCCGCCGCCGCCAGCCCCAAGTGCTGAGCTCCCTTCTGAGCGGGGTCCTGATGCCCCGGCCTGGTGGGGCTCCCATGGAGATGCCCAGGCCCCCGCCAGCCCGGAGAGGCCCGGCCCCAGGACAGCCTGGGGGGAGGAGGAGGAGCGGAGAACTACAGCAAGGCCGCGCTCGGCAGACGCCCTCGTCGGCAGCTAGAGCAGGGTTTCCCTGACGGCCCGCCCCGCCTCCCCGTGCCACGAGACCCAGCTCCCCGGTGAACCTATGCATTCTATGCTCCTTTCACGTTCAGCTGCCCACTGCGAACGGATAAATGGAGTCAAAAAGTAAAGTCAGGGTAAGAGCACCACGCGGATCCCGCGTCCTCAGGCTGGCAGGCCGGCCTCCACCAGCAGGGCCACCACCCGCCCCGCGCACACGCTTCCATGGACCTCTGGAGTGGCGGTGCTGACCCTGTGCCCACCACGCCCCCACGCCCCCAGCCCGGGACATCTGCCTCGCCCCGTAGGAGGTGGTGGTGACCTCCAGGGCCCCACCCTCGGAAGCAGGCAAAGCAGGAGCAGAGGGAGAGGGAGAGGGGTAGGCCCATGGCGGGCGGGGGAGGGGGGCGCAGAGAAACTCCGAGGGGAGGGGGCGGGCTCTGTGGGTCAGCTCAGCTAGTGCCAGAGCGGGGCTCCTGCCGCCGCAGGACCCGAGGAGGTGGAGGCACACACCTGGCAGGCACCAGGGTCCATGAAATGAGCCTGGCTGGGCTGGGCTGTGCTGGGGGGTGGGGGTTGGGGGGCTGACGGGGGGACCCTGACTCCTCGACCCATGGAGGGCACAGCCCGTCCTCAGATCTCCAGTGAGGCAGCTCAGAGGAAAGCACCCGGAGCCGAAGCAAGCCAGTCACAAGTCACCGAACAGGCAGGTGCGCCTCCTCACGGTCCCGGTGAAGAACCAGCGTCCGACGCCAGTCCACAGCCTGTCGCTTCAGAGTCGGGCCAGAGTCGCCCGGCTTCCAATGTGTGCAGAACCGTGTGGCCTCATCATCCTGCCGGCTTCTCCCCACGGCCCGTGTTCCAGCGGCAGGAAGTGCCGCGCTCCAAGGAGAGGCCGGCCACAGCGTGCTGCTGACCGCGGGGTCCCCTTGGGCAGAGGGCGCCGTGGGCCGAGCACGGGAACAAGGAGCAGCTTTCTGAAGCCACTAGGGCCTCGGGGTAAAGTGGCACTCCAAAGGCTCCTGCCACGGGACACCTCGCTCGGGGCCTCTGCCGCGGGCCCTGGACGCAACCAGCCTTGGGTTTTTGTAGGATTACATAAAATTCAACAAGGAAAAATACAATCCAGACTAGGGGGAAAATATAGAACTTTATTTTTAACATAGTAATTAAACTCCACCACAGAGTAAGGACGTGAGATTCTTTGTTTCCATTTAATAAATACAAGTGAATAAAAACACTTTGTTTGCAAAGAGACTGCCTCTCTTCCTTCTCCAGATTTCACGGAAGCCCCCCTCTACTGCGGCCACCCCCATGCCACATCCCCCCACAGACCATTCCTTCCCTCTGGGTGCAGAGGCCTGCAAATACGTTTTGGCTACAATACCTCTCTTCTCTGATGCCCTTCCAAACACAAGTTCTCGTACTGAACGTCAAGTGTAAAACGGTTCCCCTGGGAGATCCGAGAAGAGTCTGGTTTCCTTACAGAAGCCCAGCATGGACGGAGCCCTTTCCACCAGCACTTGTCAACACAAAGAAAGTACGCGTCACCTTTCAGCAAGACAGACTCCTGTGTCCGAAAGGGGGGAAAGGATAATGGAAAGTATAACCTAGTCTTACAGACGGTCCCTTATTTCAAAAATAGAGATTCCTATTTAAATTTAACCTGTCTGAAACAGGCCAAATATCTGATTCTACATGGAACAGATCTGTTATTGCTTATAACAGAGGCCCTGGTCCTGTGCTGCTGAGCCACCCAGGCTGGGGAGCTCCGGGACTACAGCAAAATCACAGACCACAACTAAGTGCCGCTGCCCCCCTCCGCCAGCCCCCCACCCGCGCACCATGCTGCCTTTGGGCGCCACCCAAGGTCGGGGATAAGGCACCACGCCTCTGTGCTCTGCACTCACAAGGGTGAACGTTCCCTTCCGACACCAAGCTGCAAAGAACAATTCTGTCTCGGTAGCTAATGTTCCTGCTGCGGCCACGCGTACAGAAGCTCAGAGCTCCCAGTGTTTACATGGCTCCGCGTGTTCCTGCCCTAGTGATTACACTAGTCAACAAGGACACAAATGTAAATCTTGGCTAAATATGACCGGGAAGAAAGTGTCAGTCTTTACAACCAGCAGTAAACCTCTTCACGCACCCCGTTTCTCATTAATCCATATTTTTAAAAAGTATTTATTTCCTGAAAGTATCTCTTAAGTATGATAGTTTGCAATACACAACAAACAAAAAATATGTAATGAGATGATAAGGAAACACGTATGAAGCACTAGAAAGCACAGAAACAAAGGTATGTCCCTGTCCTGGGGCCCACAGAGCCGTCCCACCCAGCCTCTGCTCTGGCTGTGAGGCCCTGCTTCTTCAAGGGAGCAGTACTGGTTCGAGCCCCCTGGAGTGTGGCACACATGCCCCCCGCCGACCGCGACAGAAGGAAAGCCACTGCGCGGTGTGGTGGGCGCTCCGGCCGGGAGAGGGGGTGGGGACGGCTCGCACCATCTCCCCGAACCGCCCTGCCAGGCATATGGTAAAACTGCATCCGGCTGTCATCATCCTACATACATCATAATTCCAGAAGAGAAGCCTGCTGGAGCGGGAAAGGTAGGGAAAAACACAGATGCTGTGGTTCTGCAAGCTTGCCTTTTTTGGTACCAGCACAGAGTGTCACTGTCAGTACGCGTTCAGCAGAGAAACGCCGGCCGCGGCTGGGCGCCTGTGTGTGTGTGCACGAGGGCAGGCCTCAGAGCCCCAGGGACTTCTGCGCCAGCTGCCTGGCCACCCTGCAGAACTGCTCCCGGTCATCCCGCCACATCTTGGAAGCATCCACGTTAGCGCCACTCTCATCGTTGGGCTCTGAAAAAGAAGAGAAGGAGACGCCCTCCCTGTGAAAGGGCCTCTGGAAAGCAATGGCCTGGCGAGGTCTTCCGTTTCACTTAAAACCCCCGTGCATCTTTCTGGAGCTGTGTCCCAGAGACAAACGGGAGACTCTGGAGCCTGTGAAATGCTAGGGAAGGAAGTCAGCTCCCCGAGGACAGACTGAGGGAGGGAGGGAGGGCTGAGAGGCAGCGTGAAGTCAGGGACACCCGCATGCGGCACGAGGACCCACCCTCGTGACCCCTACCCCCCCGAGTGTCCGGAAGACGTTCTCTCCGGAAACCCTGGGCCCCACTCTTCCCTCCAGCTGCCCACCCAGCTCCTGCTAGAGGCCAAGGCGAGGTGGATGTCTGGCCCAGGGGCACACCTGACCCCAGCAGGTGCCCCAGACAGATCAGGACACACACACACAGAGGCAGCGGGGCCCGCGGGGCAGGGAGCTAGAACACCGGGAAGCGCCAGATCAGAACAGAACAGCCAGCCAAGAGCCAGCACGGCCGCAAGCAGGATCCTGGCCGTTCTCTTACGCCCCAGCCTCGCTTCCCTCTGCGGCCACCACGTCTCTGTTTCTCCAACCAAGATGACTTCTTTCCTCCCATTTTTTCAACAAACCCTTCCTCGGCAGATCCTGTGCGCGAGGCCTCGTGCAGGGCACTGGGTGTGCAGAGGGCACACCATCTAGTGCACCTACAGACCGTGAACGTCCATACGTGCATCGTTTCAAACTCAGAGCTACGAAGTGGGAAGCAGGAGGCAGGGGACTGGGGTCCCGCAGGCCTCGAGGAGGGTGTGTGCTCAGGGGACCCCTGAGCAGGTCCGACTTTAGAGACCCCAGGGCCCGGACGGCTCACAGAGCACCAAGGGCTGCAGCCTCTTCAAGCAGGCCAGGCCGGAGGGCACCGAGTGGGGCAGCCGGCCGCGGCCGAGCTGGGGGGCGGGGGAGGGGGGGCGACAGGGCTGGAAAAGTAGCTCAGAAGAGAGGGCATGTACTCTGTGCGAGCAGCATGTAAGGAATACACTAAAACCTTTTTTTTTTTTTTAAAGCAAGCTCCACACCCAGAGTGGAGCCCAATCCCAGCTTGAACTCACAACTCTGAGATCAAGACCTGAGATGAGATCAGGAGTCGGACAGTCAACCGGCTGAGCCACCCAGGCGCCCCTACATTAAAACCTTTCAAGAGTCAGCTTGGGACTCTCTCTCCCTCTGCGTCTCCTTGCTCTCTAAAATAAAAATAAAACCTTTTAAGAAAAAAATTTATAGCACAACTGTGTGTCATGGCATGATGTACAGCTGACATCTGAAGAAGCCGGCCCACCGCCACTCACCTGATGCACTCCCGCAGCGTGTGGCTGGAGAGGCGGGTGCTTCCGCCCTCAAACACGCACGCGCACGGACACCCTTGCCTTCGCAGTCCCCGAAGGGCCCCCTGAGGCCGCCCACAGCACTTTCAGCCCTCCTCCGTTTCTCTCCTTCCCAGTTGTCTAGGTCATCCCTCCCTACGCTCCCCGAGGACCCCTCTCCTTCCCTCGTGCCCTTTCTCATCCCCTTTGTCCTGCCGCTCACCCACCATCTTATGCAGACCTGAGCCCGCAGCCTCACTTCCATGGCCGGCCTCGGCTGAGCAACCGCCAGGAACAGACACTCCCACGCCAGACTCTTCCCTCAATCCGGCCCCTCTGGATTCCCGTCCCCAGAGACGGCGGCCCTCTACCCTAGCGCTGGGGTCAGAACCACAGGAGTCACCGTGCACATCAGCCTCAGTCCGCCGGCGCCCCGTCCTTGTGGGCCCACAGCCGTCCCTGGCCCGCCGGAAGTGCTTTCCTCCCAGGCCCCCGCGACACCTGCCCAACAGGCACCCTGCCGCGAGGACACTCTTGCTAAGGCACTGCCAACATCCCCGGGAGGCTCAGTCTCCCCTGCCCCCAGCTGAGCTCGAGCCATAACCCGTGCGGGCAGTGCCCCCACGAGAGCCAGAGGCCTCACCCCGAATGCCTCTCCCCTCCCCCATAGCTCGTTACCTCCTACACGTTCTAAACTCAGCCCAGACAGCGCCATCGTGGCACCGGGCCCAACAGCCCGTGTGTGTGTCTCCATCAGGATGGATCAGTGACTGGCAGCCACTGTGGATCTGGAAAGTCCCCTCAGAAAGCGGGCCTTAAAGTTGGGGTTTAGGACACACCAAGCTTGACACCCCAGGACCCAGCGTCTGCGACACAGCAGGTGCCCCAACAGACACCCACTCCACGAACGCGATGCCTGAGGACTGGAGCGTGGCTCATTTTGGTCAACATACAACAGATAACAACACGAACTTTAAAATTCATTAAGTATGAAAAGCTTGCTTACGCTTGGAAAAGCATATACGAATAACTCAACAAAAAAGCAGGAAACAGCACATGTAGATTGCAAACCAAAATGACTTATAAAGGAAAAACTACATGAGGACAGAGAAGCAGCCCCTGCGCTGTCTGGCTCCCTCCTCCGGGGGCCGGGACGGCCGCCTTACCTGCCAGCATGCTCACCACCGACAGCAGGATCTTCTCCACGCTCTGCACGGGGCTCCACCTCTCAGCACTGCTCTCGTAGCCCATGGGGTCGTCGCCCGGAGCGTGAAGGATGGAAATGCAGACTCTGCCATCAGGGTAGACTGCAGGGGTCAGAACACAGCGGGTGAGCCGAGAGAACGGGGCAGGGCCCCACCGCGGTAAGAGGGTAAGCGGTGCAGACACGGAAAGCGGGCTGTTCACAGGGCTGGAGCAGAGCCCAAGCCCCGAGCGCCACGCTCAGGTCCACACGGCCAGGTGGACCCCTCGCCCCCCGACCGGGCTCTAGGCCCATCTGGTTGGTCCCAGGCACCCCCGATGGTTCCACCTTCACAGGGATTTTTTTCTTTTTTAGTACTATATCTAAAAGCACTAAATAAATGAAAGGTTACCTGGCAGTGAAGTATTTCAGCAAAATAACTCTTACAACTAGGATTACTCACAATAACTTTCAGAGCTGATTTCTGAGATGTTCCTAATTCCACCATGAAATCCTGGAACTGGACTGTGAAAAAATCTATATCCACAGCACCAGGATGAAGGCAACCAGGATTACCAAAACACTACGAAGGAAGAAGGTGCCCTGGCTTCTCCTGGGGACTCACGCTAACAAAGACAGGTGACGGTCATCTGTGCCTCTGGAGATCAGCTGTGTCCAATTACGCCCCCCCCACCATGCAGCACCAGGAGCCAGACGCCTGCGGTCTGGGTAAAGAGGCGCTTCTACTCATAATGTGTGACCAATGCTACCGAGGACACTGCAGGCGTCTGTCATGTCTCTCTTTCACGCACGGGAGATTCTCGGGTGGTTCAGAGTATACCCAGGACAGACTCAACTAGAAAACTGTAAGGCCGGAAACTTATGATAATAAAAACAACAGACAATTCAGAATAAACTTATGTAAGTCCCCTTCGCTTGTGAGCTCAGAACCCCCTGACCACTGAGAAACCTGAGCGGCTCTAAGGGCCTCCCTTTGGTAAATCGTTCCTTGTTCTTCTGACCGCCCCTATCCCAGCGGTCTCTGCTCTGGCCGCCCAGAGCCTGGGCAACCTCCCGCCGAGGGAGAGCGTGTGCGAATCTGCCGGCGACATCAGGATGCCCATCGCAGGGCCCCGCACAGGGCCTGGGCGCCCACGGCTCGAGACAGTCTCTCTGCCATGAGGTTTCCCACTCCAGTGGTACCCCCACAAGGTGACCGGGCACACCCAGAAACACAGAGAAGCAGCTGTGTCCCCGCCCCCCCATGGGGTGCCTCAGTTTCCCTCCCCAAGCCTCCCTCTAATCCCTCCCCGCCCCATCCCTCCTTGTCAATGCCCAGGCTTGGTTCCACACTGCTGGTCTCTCGTTCCCCAGGCCACCACGCTGGTGTCCCAGCCTTGCACTCTGTCCTCTACACCACCGCCAGTGACCCTTCAGAGACCACGCTGGCCACGCTACTCCCTCCCTCACTCCAATTCGCTCAGTGGATCTCCACTGCTCCTGGCGCAAATATTCCTTCTTGCTGACCAACCTGAACTGGTCTGGCCCCTTTGCTCCCCCCAAGGGGCCTTCGCATGTGCTAGACCCTCCTGACCCCCCACAGATCACTGGGTAACTCCTACTGCTCTCCTTGCAGACGGTGAGCTCAACCACCACCTCCACAGTGCGCCCTCCTTGGCCTCGTGGTGTGACTTGACATTTATCCGTATTTTTCCAACCATGTCTACCCCTGCCCTCAGACGGGGAGCTCGTGATGGTCGAGGCCCCTACCTTTTATTATCTGTTCACTCCTGTATCCCAGCAAGTCTCAGCACATGTGCTGAATTATTCTTTTAAAGTATTTATGGACTGACCAATTTGGTAAACCTACTAAGTGGTTCTCAAAAATAATTTTTATAAAATAAAAATAACACATATCCACTTACACTAAGGCCAAATTTAAAAGCTACTTGTATTAACTATCTGGACATCAGACTATTGTGGGTATATGATCGAATCATCCGTTGGCGGCCACATCGGTCTCTGACACCACGTCCCAGGTGCTCTTCTCAAGAACGTGCTCATCTTCAATACAACCTCACTGTTTCGTAATTGCTCATAATCCTTTTATTGTTGCATTTTACAGTCAATCAATTTGAAACTGCTGACTTCTTGAATCAACTCTATGCACCACAACGTATTTTTAAACTCTCCATGACAGAAAATCCTAAACACATGCCAAAGTCAACAGCAATATGATGGACGCCCATACACACGCACCACCCAACCTTGACCACGGCCACCTCATGGCCAGCCTTCTCGAAAGAAGGAGTGTTTCTGAGCACCTACTGTGCACACAGAATTGCACCAGTGTGAGATAAGAAAAATTCAAAATGGTCTCTCTGACGAGGGAGCTAACTACCCACATGTAACATCAGCGGGACATGAGAAATTCCAAATGAGGGTTTGGACAGAATGTCCAATGGGCGGGTAATCCTGAGACCCTTCTCAGAGGGGGCAGGGGTCTGGGCAGGCCTCCCCCTTGTGGAGGTGCTCAGACAGGTGCAGGCTAGGGGAGAACTGCGAGGTGGGTTCATTTGTACGCCAAGGGGTATCAAAGGCTCAGAAAGTTCTGTAAATGCTCTCGTGGATTAAATTAGCCTTGAGCTATTTCATATGCAGAAAAGCATAGGAAAAGGAATCCGACTCAAATAAGAAAATATTTCATTTCTACAAAACAGTGTCTTGCTTGCTTTTCTTCTCTACAACTATTAAGATCATGATTTTAGTGGCAATCATCATTTATAAAAAGGAACATCATCCTAGGGGCACCTGGGTGGATCAGTTGGTTCCTGATCCCAGGGTCCTGGGATGGAGCCCGCATCGGGCTCCCTGCTTGGCAGGAAGCCTGCTTCTCCCTCTCCCTCTGCTCCCCCTGCTTGTGCGCTCTTTGTCTTTCTGTCAAACAAATAAATAAATAAAATCTTTAAAAAAATTTTTAAAAAAAGGAACATTATCCTAAATATGATCATTAAAGATACAACATATTTTCTTACTAATTGTCTTATCTATAATCCCCTCTTGTAAAAGGAAGAAATAAAAACCATAGCCATTCAGTAATTCCAATGCCTACTACCAGACACTTTTCCAACTTAAGTCCAATAAATTTATTTAATGATGTCATTTCCCCCTCTTTAAAATACATGTTTATTTTAGAAAAAAGATTTATAAAAACAAAAAATCCCATTATTGACAGAATCACTTTCAACAATTTTGTGCTACATTTCCAGTTATATATATTTACATGTGAATTTTTTTCAAAAAAAAATTGTAACAAGCATGATTAAACATAACCTGCTTTTCTCGTCGAATCCAGAACTATCATTCTATATTATCAAATATTACTGTAGATCACGTAAAATATCTGTATCAAACTGTAACATATGGTCTAGCGCAGCTCAGCTGACTGATTCTCTGTGGCCGAAAACCTAGACTGCTCTGACCGGTCCCCACTGTTAGCAACCACACGGGGCCAGGGGCTGGCATCCCCCTCTGCACACAGCCATGATTGCGTCCTCTGACCGACCCGCCGGAGGTGGGAGCAGACAGGTCAGATGGCGTCCAGCGTCAGGTCCACATTTTCCTTCATCTACGTCACACTGTCATTCAACTGATGTCAACAGCACCATGGCTAAGTGGCTGCAGATCAACACCCAGGTAACACCCTCCGTGCTCTACATCGCTGACAGCACCTGTCCTACCCAAACAATCCCACGCCTCGCTGCCGGAACCATACCCCACAGCACTTACTGTTGGGATGAAACATCTCGCAGGTAAATCTCATCTTTGGGGGACTTAATGGGTAATCCAATGGGAAACTCAGGATGGCAGGAAAGACCCCAAACTCAAAGCAGGTATCTTCTGGGCCCCTAGGAGACAAAGTACAGAGACGTTCAAGTGGGTTTTTCAGTGTCCACCACACTGTTCTAAGCAGCTAGGAAATTTCTACTGCTCTACAAATGCACACAAAAAGATTATGTAAATAATAATGATAAACTGGTACTTGTTCTGAATGGGAAAGTAATGTCTCAGCGTCCCACTGCAATCTGGTTTAAAGCACAAACACCGAATTTCAGGCACAGCGTTTGCATTAATGAAGGTACTCAGGGGCAGCACAGCCAACCCAGAATATGGGATCCGAGGAAAGAACTAATAGCAACATCATAAGACCCAAGGGATTTTGTTTTCTGTATGCATGCTGTAATTTCACTTTAAGATAAAGATACACATTAGGCACACATTACAGCACCATTGTATTAAATGAGGGTTAAGAGTTGTTATTTCAAAGGCTATTTTAAATTTTTTAAATGTGCCTAAGAAATGATTCGGTAACCTCAGAGAAACAGATAAGGAGCATACACATGACCACCGGCTCCGGGGAAGGCCAGGCGTGCACATGCGCATCAGAGCTGAGCCCGCAGGCTCGCCTGAGGCCCCGTCACGAGGCACCCGCCCATCTGCCTGGGCTTCTGTCCTCGTCACACGGGACACACGGGGAGGGACAGAAACAGACTAAACCACTTCTAAGTCCCGTCAAACTTGAACACTACACGTGTAAATTAACACTATCCTGATGCACGTGTGAGACGCGAAGGCAGCAGACAGGAAGAGCCCCCAGCTCAAGAGAGAAAGACCCCTCCCTTACGGATGAGCCGTTCCCTACAGAAGTCTTTGGAAAACGACAGACACCAAGACAGCGGCGGCCACGACCCGTGTCCACGTGAGCAGAGTCGTCCCTCGGGGAGGTCCTGGCCTCGCTAAGCAGGACGTGTTCTAGCAGCTCTACAAACACATCTGAGACCCAGGCCGCTGCAGGAGCCGCTCAACACAGCAGACGTGCCACCTTTCAAGATGAAAACCAGATAAGGCACAGGAAAAAGAGAGCTGAAATAGACTTATTCCAAGACAGCCCTCATTTTTTAAAAATCATTTTTTCAAAGTACAAATTTGTTTCAAATCAATAAATTACTTTGATTCAGCAAAATAATATAAACTTGCAAAAAGTATAAACCATGTTTATCTCCGTAATTAAAGAAAAAAGACAAAAAACTCAAAAGGAAACTGAGCAGAGGGCTTTCCCATCAGCTGGTGAAGCCGCTCAGGGCTTTCGATGGTGCCCTGCGGCGGATGCCACCAGGACCGCATCCCGGGAGAAAGGGGGCTGCAGTAAAAGAGTCCAAACGAGAACAAGGGGAAAAGCGCTTTGGAGAGCCCATTTCTTTTTTTTTCTATTTAAGAGACCGACCTTGATTTTGAAAACTGTGCCCTTGCTACTCTGGGGGGAAACCACAGTGAATAGCTACTTTGTGTTGGAGGGGTGAGCGTCCCAGTAGCACCCAGAGCCTTGGCAGGAAACCAGGACAGGGGAAGCCACATGAAGAGGGACAAGTGCTGGGCAGGGCGTCCGTCCCACAGAGGGGGCTGCAGACAGCACAGAGAGCCAGTACCATCACCACCCCCAGCGGGCCGCCAGGCGAGGCGGTCCAAGGCCTGCTCTGCGCTTCCCCAGCGGCTGTCCTGGAAGCCTCTTCCTCTACGCACAGACCCAGCACAGACCAGAATGAGAGATTTATGATCATCCCACGCCTCTTCCAGTAGAAGAGCTCCCGGCAGATGCTAAGTGCCGCCCCGTTAGTTGTCCACGGGCCCCCTGATGAAGGGTGTCTGCAAGTACCACTTCCCCACCACTGTTAGCCAAGCGGGGAAGGCCGACGATTACAGGGCGCAGCGAGGTGCTACGGCGGTCTGGTTACAGGAGTGAGGGGTACAGCGTGGTTCAAACTGCCCACTCGGAAGGCTGGGCAAACACGGGCCTCTGAAAGCAACACTGTCATATGTCAGGAATGCTTGCCAATGCCTCTGAGTTTCTGGCACGTCAGAGTTAGAAGAGAAAAAAAAAGTCTGGGTAGTGTTTTGGAATGAGCCAAATGGTATTTGCTCAACACTCTGATAACAGTTCTTTGTTTCTCATAATAGAGCTTTCTTTAACATTAAAAAAAAAAAAAAAAAATCCACCGGGTCGTCCGTAGCCTCAGAAAAGCATGATCAAACATTTCCTGAAGTGCTCCCCACATCTTAAATATCAAAGCTGTTTTCAAATGCCCTAGTTCGCTAGTGGTTTGAAACGAGGGTTTCCTTCTCCTCCAGGATGCCCTGCTGCACAGGACAAGCACGCAGGGGCCCCACGCGTGCCTGCTGACTCTGGAAAATGCTATCGTGTCAACTCCTGAACCGAGACCGAAAAAGATAATCAGTGTTATTTTTGGACGAACTTTGGTGCCACACTCCAGACTGCCTCACTTCTCTCTCACTAAAAGGCCTCATCTCAAAAATCCTAAGGTAAAATAAAGTACAAGAAGACAGGAAACAAATTTATCTACAACAAACAGAAATTCTTCAAAGCCAGCAAATTATTGTCCATCTATTCATTAAAATAGCGGTCTACAGTATTTCAGAGCTCTGAGGTAAGCACTCTCTCTCTCTAAGACAAGTATCGGAGGAAAACGTCACAACCACGCTCTACGCTGTAAAGGAAACCACCTTTCAAGCCGCTCACTCCGGCTGGCTGACTGCCAGTGAACGACAGGCCGAGCCGATACTGAGAGAGAGGACAGCACCCACCCTCTGAAGCTGGCCACCGACAGGCCACGCTCTCCCTTCGAGAAGGTCCACTGCCTAGCTCACCCTGTGCCCAGAGCTGCAGGGCGACGGCAATCATGCACCACCAAAAACACTCGCTCACTTGCAGAGTCCCTGAAACCTGGAGAAATGCTCGTTTAGTCTTTCAACACTAAATTCAAGTGAGAAACTGTTCTTCCTTGCTTCTCCCCTCCAAAACTGCGTCTGCGTAACAGAAGAAGCCTCCAGGCCTGCATACCGGAGGCCGCAGGGCGACCACAGTGCTTACTGTGCACCCTGGGTGTGTCTGCGTGGGAGTGAGCCATCTGCCCGCCAGGCCTGTTCCCGCCCGCAGCCTGCACGTCACTCCGGCTGCAAGTCTGTCACAGCACATGGACAAAATGTCTCAAACATACACACAACAAGGTTTTAAGTCATGGAGACTGTAAACCATTCATTAGTTAACTTCCAACTTGAACTGCATTGCTAAGGGAGAATGATCTCTCCAAAGTCATGACCACCTGCAGCAGAAAAGAGACAGCCTCCACTTGCAGGCCCTGGCACGGTCGTCCCTTCCCTCCCGCAATCGCTGCTCCACAGTTGAGCGCCCCAGCTCACCCACGTAGGTGGCTGCCCACACAGCCCCCCGTGCTGCTCTGCCCTGGAAGGCTGAGCGTGTCAGCTCTACCATGAGCTCCTGGCCTTCAATCTCTCCAGCTGCTGGGCTTCACCCCATGCCAGGACGGAAGGAGCACCAGCAGCTACCTGAGGGCCCAGGCTGCTCTCCGGGCAGCAGGAACCCACAGCCTGGCAGGAGAGGCAGCAGGGGCTCCAGGGTGCTGGGACTGAGGGGAACACCCAGGGCAAGGAGCAGGTGTGCTCACAGGACAGAGCCAGCCCCAGGGCAGTGTCTCTGGGGGTGGACCCAGACAGCTGTCTGTTGCATTTTTCTTCCTTTGTTGTGCTCTGTGCACCCTGATCGTCCTACGGTACAGAACCAAGGCCGAGAACCATGGGAGGAGGCGGGCAGGCCCTCCGCTTCGGGAGAGCATGGCAGTAGCAAACACAGGTTTTCTTCCATATAATTTTCTCAGATTGAATCTGTTTAGAAGGAGGCTGCAGGCATACTCAAATGTGGGGATTTCTGTGATATACATATCTCTGAGAACTTTAAATCAAACGTATTTGACCCATATTTAACATGTACTAATAAATAAGTCTATCATTCCAAGAACTTCATCGTCAGTTCTGACAAACAACTTTTTTACAACATAAACTGACTTTAACTAGAAAATCATGTGTCGGAAAATATTCAAATACAGGAGATATATAAACTAAAACCAAAATTCTCCCCTGCCTGCCCCCTCCAGAATCGCCTTCCCAAGGCTGACACAGGGAAGCCTCGTTACTGTCCAAGCTCGTCGCTATGCTCATAAACTCACACACCTTCATCCACAAAACTGGATTTTTTCAAATTAAAAATGGATCATGGCACTGCTGACAGGAATTTGAACGGACCTACCGAGTGGAGAGACAGGCCATGTGCCCACGTGAGAGCCCTCCAGACTGGAGGGCGGCAACAGTCCTCAAACTGACCGGAGACTGCACACCATCCCCGTGGAAACTCCCGCTGGCTTTTCTGCAGACACTGGCACGCTGATCCTAAAATTCAGATGGAAATGCAGGGACCCAGGAAGGGGCAAAACAATCTTGAGAAAGGAGAATAAAATGAGAGGACTCATGCTTTCCAATTCCAAAACTTCCTCTAAAGCGGCAGGAACCAACACTGTGTGTGTGGAGGGGGACAGGCCCAGATCAATGGAACCTAATTCAGAGCCAGACAGAAACCCCTACGCGTGTGGTCCGTTGATTTTTGACAAAGCTGCCAAGGCAACTGGACAACCCCATGCCAATGAATGCAGCTGGACCCCTACCAAACGCCATATCCAAAATTAACCCAAAATGGATAAAAAATGCAAAAGGTTAAGTATAAGAGCTACAAATATAAAACATAAAAGAAAGCCTTTGTAACCCTGGGTTGGTATGACACCAAAAGCATGATCCATAAAAGAAAAAAACTGCTAAACTGCGCCTCATCAAAATGAAAAACCTTTGAGCTTTAAAAGAGTCCATGTAGAAAATGAAAAAGGAAAAGCCAGAGATTGCAAGAAAGCATCTGAAAATCACATATCTGATAAAGGACTTGTATCCAAAATTACATATAAAGAACTCTTATGACTCAATAAGACAA